CCACCAAAAAAAATACAAAATGTAAGGGTCCAAAACATACTATATACATCTGTCCTAAAAAGAATTATATATACTTATATGGTTTGCTACAAGACATAAGCAGATTTCGAACGGATTCTGTAAGTTCAATTGAGCCTATTACTTTTAACTTGATATATGTATACATATTCAAAAAAAATTAAAATATATACATAAAATCACACTCATTCCAACCATACTTATAGATCTTGATTCTTGAATTCACATTTGCTATAAGTTGAGAACAACTAAGGATTCTGCATAACTAGGCCTTTATTTCCAGCTAGCATCAAATACTTGTCCCTTCTTGTAAACTTAGTGCACTCAAAACCCAATGCATCAGCCAATTGTCTCTGTATGTAATTAGCCACCTCATGTGTAGACTTCCCACCTTGCCATGTGATCAGGAGATTACGGGTTTGAGTCGTAGAAATAGTCTTTTGCAGAAATATAGGGTAAGACTGCGTACAATAGACCCTTGTGGTCCGGCCCTTCCCCAAACCTTTCGCATAGCGGGAGCTTGATGCACCAGACTGCTCTTTATTTTTATTTCTAGACTTCACACCAGCGCATGTTAGCTCTTTAGGCACCTTCCCAAGTATCTCAATAGTGCAACTAGGCCTGGGATTCATTAAGAAAAAGATTGGGTCCAAGCACTTGAATCCACTAGCAGTATTTCCATAAAACATTGTCACATTTGTGTTCACAGCCACTGGCACAATCTCATCAGTTAACTCAGCAAACAAGGAACTGAACCTCAATAGATATGGTTCTCTGCATGTGGTTCCTTCTGGACAAACCACTAAATCACCTGCTAAAAAATATTGTTAGAGGAACACAAAATAGTTAATCTGAACCTGAGCCTAATAAAGGAGTCAAATAGCGTTTTCTTTGTCCATATTTTTTGCAAATAAAAAAAAAAGGGCAGCCCGGTGCACTAAGCTCCCGCTATGTGCGCGATCCGGGGAAGGCCCAGACCACAGCATTTTTGCAAGATGCTATTTTCAGGGCTTGAACCCGTGACCTCCTAGACACATGGCAATAACTTTACCAGTTACGCCAAAGTTACAAATACATTTTAAGTATTTTTAATTGTAACTATTGTGACTTAAAATATTTTTATATAGTTTTTAAATATAAAAATTTATATCAAAAAAATTGGAAATTTTATGTGAGTTATACCGAAAACTAATTAGTTTGACCCTTGTACTCTGAAAACATTCATGGAAGGAGCATGATTTTAAACACTTGAAAACGTTTGTTAAATACGATATTTGTGCTCTCTTTGCGAGATTGCTATGAGATTGAGAGTATATAGCTATAGTGAATATGACAAGCATTTGAATTTTTACAAAATTCTAACATCACCTTCACTTAGCAATTTCTGCATGGTCTCTCTATCTTGTTCTCTATCTCTTGTCAATCTCATAGTTTTTATAGGAGAAATAAACTCTGACATCTTGCTCAAGCTGTAAGTCACTGCTGTCAAAGGTTTCCCCAATAATATACTAAGAAAAACAGGGTCCAAAAGTGTCCTGTGATTGCAAACATAGAGTACACCTTTCCCATTTTCTAATCTTGATGGATCTGTGCCATTTAAACTGAGTTTCACACCACTTAAAGTGGCCAAAAATAGGGCCAATTTGTAGGGCAAGAATATACCAATGGAGATTCTAAAAATTGCTAGAAATATTCCAAGAGGAAACCATATGAACATTGAAAGAGTTGCAAGAGGTGTAGGAAGGAAAGCTAGCCTTCCATCATGAAATATTAGAGGCTTTGGATATTTCTCCCTTGGCATTATTGTTGAGCTTGCACCAATTTTCATGTCTTCTTTGTTAACCACATAAGCTTCCTGTTCAAATTCCAGAAGATACATTATTCATTTTTTTCGTAAAAGAGCTTTTACACTGTCGAGTCACCTAAAAGATAAATATGAATACTCGTGCTAACGTGCATAACAAGTGGGATTGATAGTAATTTGAAAATAAAACAAGTAACCTACTATAGCCTAAAACATTTTTACCACCTTTACGTCGGCCGTGGAAGGTGGCCGTGGCATACCTATGTCAATGGCACGGTGTCGGCCATGGTATGCCTATATCAACTGCACGAGTTCGGCCGTGGCATGCCTATGTCAATAGCACGAGGTCGGCCATGGCAGGCCACTATGGCATGCTTATGTCAATGGCACAAAGTTAATTGTGGCTTGTACAGAAATTAGAGCACTGAACATCCATGCTTAAAAAGTGTAGTATTATTACAATGTATTTAATGATACTATCAAATCACCTAAAAGATAATTAGGTAATCATTCAGCATAAGTGAGATTTGTAAGCTAAAAATAAGACAGGTAACGTGTTATAATAAGTTATAATACACTAACCTTGCAAAAGGAGATAAAGAGATGATCATTAAAACTTGAAGTTCCAATGCCAATATCTGGTTTTCTTTCCCCAATGAATTCCTTTAAAGCTCTGTGCTTTATAAGCAACCCTGAATTGGATACCAATCCACTAAAGTAATTCCCAATAGTATGCAACTCAGTCCCAATAACACTATCAACATTTAGATACTCTTTAAGAAATCCTTCAACCATTACTCTAGGCACACTAGTAAATACCATCTTAGCCCCTGCTGAATTTATCACCTCATAAACATGAAGATTAAGATTTTCAAGATAAAATTTGGGCAAAACAGCTCTTCCAACAATATCCATGTTCTTTAATCTTAATCCACAAAATGTAATGAAAATCATAACTTTTAATTGAAGTTCAAAATTTAAAACACATAAAAAAGGACTTGACAAAAGCAAGAAAAAGGCTCTGAAAATGCTCCCACCTTCAAATGCAACTAACATAAAATATGGGAAAAAAGATTGTGATCTAAGCAAAGTGCCATGTATATCACATACTAATGTTTGTGATTTTCTACCATGTAAATTACATGTTGTTATATTGGGGTACAAAGGAAGCTGATGAGATGATTTAAAAGATGGTTTTCTGAAAAGAAAGGCAGAGTTTTTGAATTTCATTGCAGCTTTGTAACATAAATTAGCCAGAAATTTGTATTATAAGAATGATTCTAGCAGTAGTACCCAAAACTATATTTTATACTGGAATTGTCATTGATTATATGCTATAGTGAGTACTAACAAAGGGAAAGTTGACTGCAGTGAGGAGAATTTGAAATGGATAGATGGGGTGGAAAGGATGAAGAGAAATGGACCAGTAGCAGAGTAAATTTATAGGAGTAATATTAAAGGGGAAGCTGATCGCAATTAGTTCTTCTTTGTGTAAAAATTACAATAAAATAAATACACGTGTGATCTATCTATCTGTTAAATTAAAATCACAAATTCACGTGCAAAATGTCGTTCCCTTTTTTTTCTTTAAATACATATTTCATATTGAACAAGATTGTAATTAAATAAGATTCTAGTTATTAAATTTTTCCTTAGTTGAACTAAATAACAAATCCTAAAATATAGGACTTCAAATTCAAATAAAATTTACCTTATATAATTTATTTGTTCATTTAACCATACAACATAATTATATTTCCTCTCAAGTCTCAACCATGAATCATTATTTTATATGCTATATTTAAGTTTGAATTCGCTGGCAGATATCTGTTTGCAGATAGTCAAGTTCAAGTTTTCTTATTAAAAATGAGGTTCAAGTTTGGAGGAACTAATATTTCTATATATTTTCTTTTTTTGCATAATGTAGAGCTTCAAGTATTTTTTTTACTTAGATATAATTTAGTACAACAAGCTCCAAAAAGGTCTTACACAAGCGCACAAACCCACCATGTAAATAAATGAATCAAGAATATTCAAGAATATTATAGCATACAAAGAAAAATTAAATCATATTTTTATTGCATATATATTTTAAAAACATTTGTTAGAACTTAGTCGTATTATATTATGAACGTTGGTGCTATTAAAGTGTCCATGAAGTACATGCCTAAGCATATATATAATATGATTGAATACTATATAGGATCACGATTTTTATAGCATATTTAAACATTAACCTTTTGGAAAATGCATGTCTCAGCGATTTAGACTCAACTTCCATCTTATTAGTCATTCTTAAAATAATTAATACCCACCTTACACATGGGTAAGACAAGATTTATTTTTAATAAAATTCCTATGTGATTCCTAAGGCATGAGCAGGATAAAGATATAAGTTTTAGTATTTCATAAAATAAGTAAATGCGGGTAAAGAATTTTTAGTTATTGGTAAACTATCATACATGAATTTTATGTAAAGTTGAGCGACATTTATACATTTTAATTGAACAATACTCCAATAATATTTTTTGTACAAAGAAGCAAGTACTATAACAAACCGGAGAAAGAACCATTACAGTAGATCTAAACCCTTAAAGATGATTAACATTTATTATTTTGGAACTTATAATTATCTATTAACTTTGTTTTATATCACAAATGCATCTTTTGAAATTATTTATGTTATTTATCTTTTGAACTTATAATTATCTTTTGAACTTTGTTTCATCTAATTAGTCAATTTATCAATATCTAATACCTGCCTTATACATGGTAAGATAAGATTTATTTTAAATAAAATTCTTATGTGATTCCAAAGACATGACCAGGTAGTTGAGTCTTTCCTTACTTCGTACCTTTGTAAGGCTAGTCTGGTAGGGCTTTTGTCGATGTCAGCTAATGACAATATTGTGTCTTACTATTCTTTTGTTTTTCATAGTGTCGTGTCTATGTACTGTTTATCCAGAGACATAACTGAACCCATAGCTTTCGCTCTTATCCTGTATTTTTGCCCAAAAAATCATTAAATATATACAAATAATAAATTTTGAACCCATTAAATTAGATGAGATGTAGTTGAATTGCGAATCTGAATCCATAAAGTTTAAATCTCGGATCCGCCTTTGTGTCTATCGCTTTGGCTTTGCATCTACTTTCTCATTTTTCATGATGTTATTTTTCCTATGGTTTCTATTGGTGGTATTGATATTATCTCTTTTCGTCTTCTTGAGCCGAGGGTCTTTCGGAAACAGTCTCTCTATTCCCTCGGAGTAAGGATAAGGTCTGCGTACACACTATCCTCCCCAGACTCCGCTAGTAAAATTTTACTGGGCCATTGTTGTTGTTGTTGCAGGTAAAGAATTTTTAGTTATTGGTAAACTATCATAAATTTTATGTAAAGTTAAACAACCTTTGTACCTTTTAATCAAACGGTACTCTTTTAATATTTTTGTACAAAGAAACAGGTACTAGAACAAACTAGAAGAAGGACCATTAGAGCAGATCTAAGCTCTAAAACATGATTAATTAATATTTATTATTTTGGAAATTAAGATTATTTACTAATTTCGTTTTATAACACAAATGTATCTTTTAAATATTATGTATGTTATTTTTTTAGAAAATTGATTTTCATTAATTGTGATAGTAGATTAGTTGCTATTTATTGTGTAATTAATGCATAGAGCTTAAACTCATCAATTAGCAAGTGAAATTAACTTTAATTGTCTGATGCATGCTTAGACTTTTTTTGCCCTCTAGCAGAATCTTTCTATGCAATATGAGAATTGCTCTCTATATGGGATTCAGGGACGCAGCCATAGTGTTTGTTGCGGGTTCGGCCGAACTAGTAATTTTTGTTCAAATTCTATATTTATATTAAGAAATCTAATAAATACGTATAAATTATTAATTTAGAACTCAGTGACTTAAAAGGATTATAATCTCGAATTCATAAGGTTCAAATTCTAACTTCGCCTATGATAGGAGTTGGGATTTTCCGTCTATAGTTAACAAAGTTTGGTAGACTAGGGTGTTGGTGACCGCCTAACTAGTTTATGTTTCTCTTTGAAAAACTTAATTATATGGCTTCTGGCTTCTTTTTGAAGAATCTCACCCCACCTCCTCTTTCTTCCGGTTAAAGAAATAGACTTTGAGCTTAACTCAACCTTAAAAATTGTTAGATATTCTGAATTTATAAGTGACTAAAACAGAAAAAATAAATTAAAAGAAATTGGCAGTATTATGTCCCGAGCCCACAAATTCCTTGTGTGTCCTTAAAGAATCTTATCCCATCATTGTTGCTCAAGGTTTACGGATAAATTCTCCCAGGATAGAACGGAACTTTTAACTTAGCGGTAGTGGCACTTCAAACCACTAAGTTATCAGCAAACTCAAAATTATGGTGTAAATCACACGACCGACTTACTTTGTTTTGAAAGTAATGATGCAGAAAGAAAAAGGAGATGAAGCATAAGATCTCAAGATAAAAAAATTCTGAAGGAATGATTGCTTATTTATAGCCAACGAATTTCTGGATTGAAAGGGTGTGAAAGTGGATGTTCACACTGCAGGTGGCTATTCGTGAAATGCAGCCTCTCTGGTAGCTGTTTAACGCGGGAATATTTAAATAAAGTTAAAGACGGAAATTAATTAATTTATCGTTACAAATAACGGTCGCTCAAAATATTAATATCTAATTAATTAATTTCATTTTATTGGTCCAAAAAATTAAGTCAATCAATCATATCAATTGACCGAATCCGAATTCGAAGCGAGCGACGACGATGGCGGCGCGAGGTCCCTTCCTCTTAGCTCCTTTTAAGAGCTTAAGGAAGTATTTCTATATTTAAACCCAACAAAATACTTGTCTTTAACTAATGAGGGACAAAGTGCAAAAGCCAAAGTTGCCTTTTCACCTTCTTTCCTCATTTTCCATTCACACTACCACACTTCAACCCCAACAATCCCCCACATGAATGGGGAATGATGAACACGCATGAAATTTTTTGTGTGATTCGCAACTAAGGATTAATTGCATCGGGATAAGTATGTTTCCCTTAGAATTATCCGTAGTGAGCATATATCGGATATACTCTGTCAATCGGTAGATTTGATATCTTGGAACCGTCGAGCTTTAGTGTACACCTAGACAAAATATGTCACACAATTAATCCTTATCCATCTTTTGGTTCTCATTGTTGTGTTCGTTTTAGCCATGAACACCGCATGGTTTCATAAGTGCGTAGAGAACTGGCCTTACAACAATCTCTTTGAAGCGGCTTACACTTCACACTTATATAGGTGATTCCTAAGCGTGTTATCCCGTAGATACACTATTTAATATACCACATATCAAACTTAGAAATCATTAAAAAGTCCTAATGTTTTATCCTTGGTACTGAACATTGTCTGCATCACGATAATGGACCAAAATTTTATTTGACAATGTTGGACCGTCACTAATGACTTTGCTTGATCTCCTTGAACCTAGATCTTGGGATCTCCAGTCTTCTAGATAGAGTTACTGCTATGGTGACTTGTCCTCGGCCATAGTCCCATTCCCTTTGATGACTTCTCAACCGCCTCTCTAGATAGGCCTTTTGTAAGCGGATCTGATACATTATCTTTTGACTTTACATAGTCAATTGTGATAATTCCACTAGAGAGTAATTGTCTAACAGTATTATGCCTTCGTCGAATGTGACGATATTTCCTATTATACATAATGCTCCCAGCCCTTCCTATTGCTGCTTGACTATCGCAATGTATGCATACAGGTGCCAAAAGTTTGGGCCAAAAAGGAATGTCTTCTAAGAAATTCCGGAGCCATTCAGCTTCTTTACTGGCCTTGTCTAAAGCTATAAACTCAGACTCCATTGTAGGGCGAGCGATGCATGTCTGTTTGGATGACGTCCAAGACACTACTCATCCACCAATGGTAAAAACGTATCCACTTGTGGATTTTGTTTCCGTTGATCCGGTGATCCAATTTAGATCACTATATCCCTCAATAACTGCGGGATAATTATTGTAATGCAATGTATAGTCTTGAGTATATTTCAAATATCCCAAAACTCATTTCATTGCTATCCAATGAGCATGGTTGGGATTACTTGTGTATCGATTAAGCTTACTTATTGCACAAGCTATATCAGGTCGTGTACAAGTAATAATGTATATCAAACTTCCCAACACTCGAGCTTATTCCAATTGAGATTTGCTTTCACCTTTATTCTTTACAAGAATATGGTTTAAATCAATTGGCATTTTCGCTTCTTTAAAGTCCAAACATTTGAACTTTTCAAGAACAATTTTAATATGATGAGATTGAGACAAAGCTAGACCTTGAGGAGTCTGTAGGATCTTAATTCCTAAAATTAAATCGGCAACTCCTAAGTCTTTCA